AGGACAAGCAGAAAGCTGCAGTGCCTGCCGTTATTATAACTTTACAGATACCAAACATCCAAGGAATTGGTGCAAAGCGAACTCAATTAGACAGAGCCATCACATTCTCCTAACCAAGGTATCCTTGTAAACTAAGGGGTTTAGCGTGTTCGAAGACTAATGATGCAAATACACATTTTGGGAGGGACATCAGGGCAAGAGTCCAAAACTGAGACCCAGCTGTGTGTACACAAAGGGTTTTATTTTGAAGCTTGCCTACCTAGGAGGAGCTCATTTCCAAACACTGAGGATGCCTAAATGTTAATACATTTTTTGAAATGCTTTTGCACAAACTTGTGTTTTTCGGTGAATCCTGATCCATCAAGGCAGATCCCTAATGGCATACAGGCCCTTATGTCAGAGGTAATCAAGTAGTATTACAAGAGCTGCTGGCTGTGGGGCCCCTCCTGTGCACACACATGGGTACATATGGAAGTTATTAACAAGTTTCAGCGAAGGATTTTGGGAAATTAACCCCTGGGGCCCCAGAGCACCGCTAACAGACAGCTAGTCAGGAGCAGATGAAGAGCAGTTTCCTGCTGGATGCCTGCAGTGTGTTGGGACTGAAATCCAGGCCCTTTGCAGCCCGGTGGAGGAAGGCCCTCTCACAAGGACTAAACTTTTCAACTTCTGCTGTTAGGAAGAACGGTTGAAAAAAAACATCTGCGAGGCTGTATAAGTTTCCTCGACAAACTGAAATGAGTCAGCTGGAGAAATGTATAACATAACATATAAAAATGCAAACAATTTTCTTCTATTCCCTGAATGGCGCTCAAGACGTTGTGAGGAAGTTTGTAATTTCTTTATAAGTCCCTTTAGGAGCCACCAAAAAAAACATTTGGATGCGGGCCACCAGGAGCTGCTCCTATATGGCAGAGTGACCTGTTCAGAGGCAGGGTGATTAAAGTGAACGTCTCCCACTCGTTAATGAAAGCAGCAGGACGTCGTTTGCAGTCACCCTGTGGAAGTAAACTCTTACGGTTTTGCTTTGTACACCTTTTTCTCTAGAGTTGAAAGAAAAAGGTTTCTCTTCCAACATCCAAGCAGAAAATGGAGGACTCTAAAGCTGGCCGCAGCCAATGCACTTTTCACGTTCCTGTTCTTCCCACATTGGTTTCCTTTCTTGCACCAATCCTGATCTGCAAAGTGACCTCTCCTCAGGAATAATGAGGATACTCACCCATAATATGCTTTAAACTTTCCTAATATAACAATGCTTGGCAGTCATCCACTGCTTTTCATCCACAGATCTCAAATCAATTCGCTACAGCCCTGCATGGAATTGACTTACTTGTAAGACACAGATGAGCACTTGCTGTGCAATTAAAAAAAAAAATATAAATGAACAAAATAAAGCAGACTTTATTAAAATCCAAAATATTTCCTCCTCCCTTGGTGTGATTTTCCTAAGGCACAATCCTGGCTGCAAACGGGGCTCTTCCGCAGCCCCCAGCCATACAACCCAAGATGCTCGTTTTCGGCCAAATGAGAATGGTTCACAGCCAGGTCAAAGCAATCTACTTAGAAAGCTCTTCCTTCAGCAAGCTGTAACCATGGCCATAAAACAGAAGCATTCCTGTGCTCGGTTATAAACGTGGAAGAAATTAGCCCACTCCTTCCCCCCTCCCCGGTTTCTGAAGGCAAGGCAACCAAGGTGCCTCGGTGACAACACCCCCAAGGAAGAAAAGGAGCGAGGGGATGGGCAGGGTGCCCGGGGCTGCAGACCCGGTCCCACTCCTCCCGCAGCAGGCAGAGAGGGAGGGCAGCTGTGCGGCTGATCACGCTGAGGCAGGGGTTTACACCTGAAAGCCAGGGCACAGTCCCAAAATACAGGTGCCTGGAGCCACCTGAGATGTCCACAGGGGCTGGCAGGGCAGGCGTAGGAGCTACAGGAGACTTGTGCGCTGCCAGAACTCTGTCCAAAGAGCATTGAGGGTGAGCAATGGGATGGTGCCCAAGACCAGGCCAAATCCATGGCAGGCAGCAGCACCCAGAGCATGTGCGTGACCCAGGGGCGCTCCACGTAGCGCGGGGAAAGTAAGAGGGACGTGGTTTTCCATCCACCAACATGCCACAGCACTTGGCTGGTGCTGGCACCATCCCGGTCCCTCTGCAGGGGGCTTTGCAGGCACAGCACCTCCAGTGACAGCACCACCACCCCCATCTCCTCCATGGCTAGTCCCACATTGTTCAGGGAAAGGGACCAAAGGAGGTCTCTAGTCCAACCTGGGGGGCTCACACCAGGGCCAGCTCCAAGGTCACACCAGGTTGCTCCAGGCTTGACCCAGTTGGGTCTTGAAACTTCTAAGCATGGAGACTGTACCTCTCTGGGCAACCTGCTCCCCAACTGGACTACCCTCATGGGAAAAAGGGTCTCCTCATAGCCAGCCTGGACTTGTTTCTCCCCTGCGTCTGCCGTGCACCACTATGGTGTGCCTGGCTTCTTGCTGACCTCCTCGTATGTACAGGCAGGCTGCCGCTAGGTCCCTCCGAAGCCAACTCCTCTCCCTCAGCCTCTCCTGAGGAAAGTGCTCCAGCCCCCTAAGGTTCTTGATGTCATGTCACTCCCCTGACCTCACTCCTATTTATTACATTTTTGTTGCATCAGTGAGCCCCAAACTGGATGCAATACTCTAACTGGGGTCTAAAGGGTGCTGAGTACAGGGAGGTAATCATTCCCCTCATCTGCTGGTGGTGCTCCTGTTAATGCAGCCCAGGATGCTGCTGGCCTTTGCTGCCAGACAGCCTGCAGGATTCCGCTTTGCTATCTGCCAAGACCCCCGGTCCTTGCACAGGTTACAGTGCTCGGATAGGGCTGCTTCAGGAGCTGGAGATACCAATAGCCCTGAGCGACAGGGTGTGTGTTTGAGCAGGGGATGCACAGGGCTATTCTCTCAGGGTGGGTCGAACCCCAGCCTGCCTTGTGATGCTGCCTGGGGTAACGCAGGGCACCCCAGCCCTCACCCAGGCCACCACAGCCTGACTCAGGCATCCGAGGGCTCCAATTCACCACCTGTAATGGACCCAGCGACGATGACGGATGCAACTACCTGCTTAGCTTTTTGCCCTGTCCCTGCACGACATTACAGCTCCGGTGGCAAGCAACACCATACCCACGTCAGCCACCACCGTGCACACGTACCCTGTGACAGTGAACAGTCCCAGCTCGTACTTTTGCACTGGCCTGAGAGCCGCAGCAGCTGCAAGACTACCCAGCTGCCCCGGCCTCCCTGAGACAGAGAAGAACAGGCGGCAGAGAGATGACGGCCACTTCTCTGGCACTTACTTAACTACCTCTGTTCACAGGCCAGTGCCCCAAGATAGGAGGCCAGGCACCTTGCTGTCAGCAGAGCGACAGAGCCCTCCAGAGAATAATTCAGAGTGTCCAAGTTAGGCTCCTGTGATGAATCACGCCCTGTGTGTCTCTCTCTGTGCTAACCGCACGCTTTGGTTCCTCAGATAAGATACCTGAAGCCAAAAGAGCAAATTCAGAGTAATCTCTCTCCACGTTCAGCTTTTTTTTCCCCCGTACACATCTGAAGGGGAAAGCCAGCGTGAGCTCAGCAGGCTGCCCGCCTGGCTGTGGATCCTTGGCGGCACGCAAAATGGTTTTACAGTATCTGAATTTCTCCTTTCACATAGCTGTTTTCAGTCACTTACTTCAAAGGCGTCATACCTGCCTGCATCCCTGAAACAAACCATAACCCTATTTAAGCCGACTCTGTTTCTCTCATTTGTACTCATCCTCACCAGTTTGAGTTCACTGATGCTGTGCCCTGTTCTAGGATCCTGAATTACTCATGTTTCTTTCAAACACTCAGTACAAATTTTAAGGCACTAAAAATACTTCTGAAAATCTCACCCCTACATTTTTAGGAAGTATCTTATGTTTAGAAAATTCTTTACTTGATTACACTATAAGATGAATTAAGTTTCTTGTTCCCAGCTAGGACCATTCATTTATATCCTGCTTTTGGTCTTTATAAGAAATCCACTTGTTCAGTTTCAGTTTGATTGCCATGTCTCGGCACTAAACTAACCAGGTTTGCAACACTACAAGGGAATGAAAATATCGCCACATATTCATTGACTTTTAAAAATAAGTATAAAAACATGTTTATTAAAATTTTTAAAAGTCTTATGTAAAAACTGCTCTGCCTTTTTTGAGGCAAAACCTAAACACCTTTTTATGCTCTGTAGATGGCAGCAGCATACCATCAGATGAGCATAAGAAAAGGTGCTGGCTCCCATCCGTTCACACCCTCCCAGGGCAGACCCAACTCTCCAGACCAGGGTTACCTCCGCAGGCATACCATGCTTTTAGCATAATGTAACCCATCTGCACTCCCAAAAATCTGTTCAAATAAAGCAATGCAAAAGCCAGTGAAGCTGCACATATCGTACATGGCTGCAATGGTTTCCCTCTAGTGCAAACATTTGCCTCTGAAGTGGCTGGGAGGTATCGCATTCGTGCTGCAAGGAGCGAAACGTGCTCTCGCTCCGCTATGGTTACGTGGGTATCTGGTCGGCACAGGGGTCGTGCCCCCCAGTGACCAAGCCGCACCGCTGTGGGACTGGACTCAGCCATACCACTTCATGAGGGCAGATCTGTAGCAGAAATTAGCTCAGGCACTTCGAGATAGAGGAAAACACAGGGCTGACCTGGGAGGACAAGCAACTCACCTTCTTCTCATGCTTATAAGTTATAAATGGAGCAAAGAGCAGGACTTGGCAGGGGCGAAATCTCTGCTCTTCAGGTTGGCTTTACCCCAAGCATCTCTGGGGAAGGCCACACATGCTGTGCACGTATGAGGACACAGCTGTCACAGCCAGCGGGTTCAAGCCCTGCTCCCCCTCCCCTCCCCTTCCTCTCCCAGCAGCCAGTGCAGCCCCACCGGCATGGCGTGCGTCCCACCAGCCACGTAACAGGCACCTCCCTTCGTCTCCCCACGCACATGGCATCATCTCCTAGCCCAGGATGGAGAGGGGCTGGGGACAACGCTCCCCCCCAACCCTCCCCTTCCGCCCAGCGGTGAGACCACCTCCTCCCTCGGGTGCATCCCCGAGGAGCCCCCCAGCCCTGCTCCCTGCCCCATCGCAGTGCCAGCAGGCAGGCTCCGACAGCACAGTTCTCGCAGCGTGGGCACTGCCCGGCGGCTCCGGCACAGGGGCTCGGAGAAGACCAGGGGGGGTCCCCCCATCTCATCAAAGTGCAAGGGGTTGTTCCGGGTCCCTGCCACCACCAGCTCCAGCAGCTGGACCACGCAGTCTGAAAACCAGTTCTTCAGGCGGAAATAGCCCTCCTGGAAAGAGATCCGAAGGCTGACAGGCCCCGTCGGCATCCGCACGCTCAGGCTGAACAAGCAGTTCCCCTGCGAGCTGTCCCGCACCAAGTAGGTGCCAACGGGCTCCCGCTGGAGCTTGGCGTGAGCCTCCCCCACGGACAAGGGGCCCCAGTAGAAGTCGCTGGCCTGGAGGATATTGAGGGATCGCTCCAGGACCTCCCACTCACAGCTGCGAAACATACGGAAACGATCGGGCAAGCCGGGGGGCGCGGGGCTGGGGAGAACGCTCCGATGCTGCCTTTGCGGATGAGAAACAGGGGAGCGCGTGTTGTGCAGATCATCTGGCCTCCCTCTGATCATCTCTCAAAGAGCCCATGGATCCTGGAAAGATGCTGCCTTTACCACGCTTCCTCCTTTGCATCCAGCCTGCAGGACAGAAGGAGAGTGAGGCAAACCCAATACCTTCTTCTAACTGGGCAAGTGAAGACACTTCACAGGGAGAAGACAGCAGCAAGAGTACCAAAGGGGGCACGGGGAGTTACTGTATGTCCCTAACCCACAGCTGTAGGAACAACCAAGGAAATAAATGCAGGAAAGGCTCCGGCTGGGTCCCCACCAGCACAAGGTAGCACCTTACAGAGCTCTACATCCATTGGGTTTCCGTGATTCACAGCTAGGGGCTCCCCAGCACACCCTTCAGCAGGCTGGTTTGAACCTAGCAGATCTTGGTATTTCGAGATTTCCCTCTGTGGGATGTTTAGGGGCTTTTCAGAGTGGCTTTGAGACCGGCAAGGGGAAACAACACCCCAAATCAGAAGGGAAAAATTTCCCAAAGCAGGAAAGTATCATTCACTTTGTCATTCAGTGAAAGGTGGAAAGGTTTCCTCACACCTCTCCAACCCTTTCTCTGACAAAAGGATGGACAAGAGGACTTAGAAGAAGCAGAAGGTGGGAATGAGCCTTTCCCACCAAACCCTATGAACCACTCCCTCACCCCAGGACATGCCTGTTTCACTGTGTCAGGAGAAAGCAAAGGTCTTGGATCAAGACCCCTTCAAGAAATGTTACACCATCAACTTCAGGGCTGCGACTGCCATGAATGAGACCATTTAATGCCAATATCAGACACTGCTGACATCCCAGGAATGGTTCTGCTCAGGCCCCTCCAGCCCCTTAACTTCGGTTTCTGTCAGAGGGACATCTCCCCCACCCAGCAGACGATGCTGCCCTCTCCCAGTCACCGTCCTCCACTCATGTGCTGCATTCAAAGTGCCCTCCCTTACTGTCACGACCCTGCCCATCTCCTGCACCTCGTGGTATCACCAGGCTGTCTGTTTTCAGAAATGCAAGTTCTTGAACCCAGTGTTGCCATCAGCCATCCAAGTCATTTCAATTACACAAAAAAATACATATTCTGCATGTGTGCGTGTGTATATATATGCATAAACATAAAAACCACAGCCCCAAGCCAGAGGCTCATTCTGTGTGAGAAGCTGAGCTGTTACATACCACTTCCCCAGGCCTGACAAGTCAGTAGCTCACCGCCAAACCCTGCCCTCGGTCCCTTGACATACTCCATTAACCCAGTCACACTCACTGACAGCACAGTCATGCTTGGAGCAGAACAGACTGCTGACAGGCAGCTTGCAGCAGAGGAAGAGATGTGCTCCTCCATCTCCGGCAGTCCCTCCAGCAGACTTGTGGGAGCATCGGGGCTCGTAGCGGGCAAGCAGCCCCCCAGGGAACGTGCAGGGACCTGAGGAGGGCTTGGTCTGGAGGGAGAGCTTTAGGTTAGGCTTAGCTTCTTGTGAGGTTCCCCTTATCTCGCACCCTTCGCCGGCTATTCAAAAGCCTCGCGGCTCCTTTCGGTGCTCATGCCAGCTGGACAGCCGTGTGGAGCCCACTCCGCGCCCAGGGAGAGGACATGGAATGGCAGGGCCAAATGTCTTTCAGTCACACAGGCACAGTAGTTTTGGAAAGGAGGCATCTGCCCGGCAATGCCTTGCCTACAGTCATCTTTTCTCTCCTAACATCTCTCAATACTTGACAGTAATACCAATAACATAGCTGTCAGGCAGGTCTCCATACATGGAGCCATAAACACCCTTTCCAAGAGCAACTTGGGAAGCTTCTCCAGTTTCTAGTCCTCTGCTTTGCAGTCCACAAGCCGCTAACATCCCTGGTACCGCTCTGAATGCTGCCAATCTTGCCCTTTAGCTACGTGTCACCACGGGAGGGAAATTCCACACTTAGAGAAAGGTGGGAGGGGTAGGAAGGAGTTAATCAAGTTGGGTTTTTTCTTTTCCATTTAAAAAAAAAAAAAAAGGCAGCAGTTGAAAGCTGCTCAGATGGTTCAGCAAGTCAGAACAAATCTTAGGGGAAGCTGATTTAGTGAGCAGAACACAAGTAAACAGAGTCGCCACGTGCAGTGACTAGGGCAGTCTATCACCACCGAAAACTCAACACTGTAGGCGCCACAAGAAGTTGCAGCATCTCTGTCCCTTTCCTTCTCTCTGCTGGGTGAGGAAGCTGTAGAGCCCTTGACATTAGCTACTATAGAAAAAGAAGGTCATACTCCTGCCAGCTGCCTCCAAGGCTGCAGCTATACCTCGATGGAAGCAAGAAGGAGCCTTGCTCCCACCAGCAGCCACTCTTCCCAAACAGCAACTTCTCTTGGGTCCAAACGGAAATTTTGCCAATCTCATGGGTCTAGGTTGAAAAATAAATTCAAGCAGGAAAACAGAAGCAGGCAGCTGTCTTTCATTTCCAGGCTAGTTTTAAAAATAACAAACAAATAGATAATTTGTTTAAGGCTGCAGATGCTATTTGACAGAAAAAAAAAAAACAAACTTGTTTGTCCCAGTTCTCAACCTTGAGTCATTCTCCCAAGTCCTTTAAGAAAAATCCACTGCTACTAGAAGTCTGACTGACTAAGAACGGAGACTGTGTCATCGTTTCAAATTCAGAGTAAATGCAAAAATAGCACCCTCACTATTTGTTCACTTGGTTTGAAATCTACATGTGGGTCAGAGCCTCAGACGGCATGAATTTGTTTAGCTTCAGTGACCCATTTCCAACAGATGACTACCTGGCCTGCAGCACAATATTAGTTATATTAATATTAGCTCTAGAAGTGCTTCCTGATATTACCTTTAAGGTTCACTTTTAATGGGTCAACAGGTCATACGTATACATGGCCTCCCACGTCAAGGAGGACGAGCAGACTCTCAGGATTAGGAATAAGCCAGCCCAAGGGTGTAATGAAATATACATGCATAATTAGTTCTGCTTCTGATTTGCCACACCACAATTTGCTTTCCCAACCCCCCCTCCAAAAAACCCCCAACGCCCATACACGTTTCTACCTCCCTACTGCAAGACAGTCAGAACAGTGCTCACAGCCAAAGCAATATACCCTAAAAAGCTGGCATCCCGCTAATTAAAAGGCTGGATAAGTTTCCCCAGACCTTCTGATTTACTGTAAGTTCAAGAGCTTTTCAAAGTAAGTGCTCTTGACACAGGGCATTTTGCTTTCCTCCTCGCTCACTACCCAGGCAAAGCAGTGTATTTCATATAAGGAGACAATTCTAGTAAACTAGGGGACTGTACGCAGCCTCTGGTGTCAGCCAAGCCAGCCCTGCACCCTGGGGCTTGACAAATCCGGCGTGTTCAACAGCACCTTCAAGTACTCAGCTATGATTTGTTCTTGCACTCTTCCTCCAGGACACTTGAAAGAACTTACCTCTTTATATTTACCACCCATAGGGATGAGTTTCTGGACGTCAGGCCTGGAAGCGGTCCAAATTGAAGAGCTCCGACGCGGCACTTCCCAGTTTTTGCAAAGCTTTACTTAAGAGCAGATCCATCCTTTGAAAAGAAAGACGTTCATCAAACAGGTGACTAAGCCCATTAGTTCACCATAATGTGGATCTAAAATACAACAAATCTGGGGACAGGTTGTCTGTCTCAACCTCTTTGACCTGTATTATTGTAGAAGCATGTATACAGCACTTCAGATAGCAACGGAGACAACAGATTATTGTTGTTGTTATTATTATTATTGCTACTTCTAAAGCCATGAGCTGATTAGGTCCAGACAGCTCAGAGATGGCCTAAGGACAAATGCAAAGACCATAAAGTTGCCATCATCTTCTGGAAGCGGGAACCACAAAACCCAAACATTAAGAGATGATGGCAACAGGAATAAGCTTTAGGATTCAGAACAGCAAACTCAAACTTGTGCTCAATGCAACGTGCAACAGTTAGAGTAGCTTATCTGAAATGGCGCAGGTAGCCATTCGCTGGTAAGTTATCCGAATAGCAACCTAGTCCGTTCTGTCCCGCGCTCTTCTGCCCTGCTTCCCTGGCTCTCGAGGCTTTTCTTTCTCACCTTGCAGATGGAAAACTAAACCCGCTGACCTGGTGGAGCAGCAGAGCATCACTTGTGCAATTGCCTATCCATCAGTGGATGCATCAGCAAGCTGAAAAAACGAACCCAGCCTTCTGCACGCCTTTCAGAGGCAGTCCCTGTAAGGGCTTCACTTATACCTATGCTCCATTACTCAACATCACTTCTCTGCATCCCCCCAGCGGAGACCAGACCGGGCACACACCTCACAAGCCACATTGACTTGCAGCTGGCAGAACTGCAGGTCTATCCCATTACTATGCTACCCACTCCATTCAGCTTCAACATCTCCCAGTTATCAATCCTGCAGTTCCCAGAGCAGTTAGATGGAGGTTGGGATAATTTGGAAAAGCTCTCCCTGAGGTACCCTGCAAGCCCTTGCAGCAGCGTCCCATTCCAGGCAGCAGCAGTTGAGCAGACATCTCTTGCTTGCACGTCTGCATCCCACAGAAATGCGCTGCCTACTGATTTGTGGCTGGAGAGGATGTTTCAAAGGAAAGCTCGAGCAAACGGCTGGAAGAGAAACCTCCCTGGTAAGAGCCAAGCACGCAGCGCTGTGTTTTAATGGTGGGCCAGCCTGGTTCCCACAGCCGCCACCGTCTGCCACACACTGGCACCGGTTTAAACCACGCTGTCACAGCCACGGTGCGTGGCTGCACAGCCACACCAATGCCCCTTGTCACGAGCACCCTACCATAGCCAAGGCGACGGGGGCTGATCCTAAAAGGGCTCGCGGAGGGGGAAGGGAAAGGCAGGAGGCGCACAGACAGATGTGCGCCAAAGAGCACAGAGGGAGCTGTGGTTAGGCGAGGAATGTGGTGCAGCTCAGCTAAGAGGACCAATGTTAATCACAGCCAATTTCTGCAGCACAAAGCAGGCCTAGGAGGCGTTGCAGTTCCCTCTATCTTTTATGCCATGGCTATAAATAGAGTTTGATGCGAGGCTGCCATTATGTCCGACACGTGAGGGAATATGTGGAAAAAAGAAAAAAACCCACACCACACATACACACCC